ATTAAGGCCAGAAGGTTTTTGTTGACAGTTGTGCGGCAGTGCAGCTTTGTGCGAGATATCTTCATGTGACTGTGAATGCTGCTAAGTGGGATGATGTAATTGACATGATTTGAAAACCCCAGACTCGTAATCATGTTGTTTCTGATTCAGGGTCACTACACTCCACAGTGCTGTGGACTTGCTGAGGGTCACATTTTTTTAACAAGCTTTATAAGAAAAAAGTAGCTGTTTCTTTTCTATTAAACAATCTATAAATCATATTAAATGCTTTTTAAAGCACTTCATTTGCCCACTGAAATCACTTCAAGAAATTAAGTATGCAGTATTTTCAAATGTATTTGTACAATATAAAAAAAGTTACTAAAGTTTTATTAAAAAGTATTTATTAAAATACCCCAATTATTTAAATTTACACATACATAAACACTGTAAATTGTGGGCATCACATTCTCCCTGAGATAGAAGTTGGCGCCTCTTCCAGGCAGGACCTAGAGCTGTATGGGGTCCTGAAGTGGTGAGCAGAAAAGATACGACTTATCAGGAAGCTCCCACTCTGTCATTGTAATGCGGCGCTACCCTGATCCCTTTTGCTAACCTAGAGGCTATGTGGACACTGAAAAATAGCCTTCGCCCCACCGCATCCTGCCCCCCACACTCAAACCCTGTCATATCTGGAGTGCTCCACTCCACACTGAGCTTGCCTCCAGAGCGCTGGGTTAGACAATAACATATCTTTTACGCTCTTTATGTTAAGCGCCCTTTTGGTGGTAACCATTGTTGTATTTTTTTAATGTCATGATGATTTATTAACTCACCAAATTTAAATTAGCAGTAGAATGTAGACTCAAAGTCTTTCTCATTTATACCTGTGTAAACCACTCAACACTCCAACACTACCTACTTCTTGCTAAGTATAGTATATATAACAAATTATATTTTAACTAACATAAAAAAATGTAGCTGTAAACTCAAAGTACTGCAGGATTGCACGTGCTTATAGTTTGTTTTTTATAATGGATACACAGAAAATAATTCCAGTCATGGATTTCAGTAAGGCAAGCAAAAGGTATTCATATGTATAGGTGAATATTTTACATAATACGTTAAAAACACATTGCTTAAAAATAGAAATTAAAACCTAAAGGTGTAAATTTAGAGCATGACAACTCTAAGCGTAAGATAGGGAATTGTGAATGCTCGAATACAGTGCATACGCCTATACATGTTTTTAACCTCATAAAGTCAGAGTGAGAGCTATATTGTTCTATATTTGTGTAAGCTCCATGTTGCGCTGGGAAGAAAAAGAATTCATTTTTATGTCGAGAAATATTTTTTTCAGTCTTTGCTTCTCAGTAAATCATTGTAATCTCTTAGAAAACTCAAACATACTCATGATCATTTTAGTGAAGGACTGGATTAGTGATTTGTTTACTGAACACAAAAAACAGTGTATGCACAACTTGCCTATATGCCTATATGAACTGTTGCCCCAGCCTTCTATGTCCATAAGAGGGCTATCTCTGAGTTGAATGGTCATGAGGTGCTCCAACATGGACCCTTCTTGCTGCCATAGCACAGACATTTCTAAACTAGGAGTATATCCAGACTTCCTTGGCTAGGATTTAGTCCCAGTATGTCTCCAATTGAACGTGCCGGGGAAATCCTGGGTCGACGTGATCATCAGATGCCACCATCGATGACTACTGCACTGCAGCTGCAGGCTGCATTCAAATCTGTTGTTGAGCAATTGAGCAACAGCAGATCTGGATACTTGTTCAGTCCATACACAGATGGTTGACTGCTTGCATCATGTCCAGAGGAGGGTGTACCTCATATTACACATCTTGTTTATGCCTATATTACAATGTTGTTCCACAACATCTGTTTAAAACACTTTTTTTTTCTATTTTGAGTAGTATACATAAATTTCCCATTTATAAAAACATATTTATTTACAGTCAAAAAATACATATAAACTATATTAATCCTCATATGTCATCTATAATGTATAACTATAATTGAATTAGATCATTAGAATGTTGATCTGTATTTATGGGTTGGTTATTGGAGACTGAACACACAATTTCAATATACTTGCCCATTATATAGAACTCCTTGTGTTGCTGCCTTTGCACAATCAATACATGCAAACTTAATGAATAAGAAATTAAACTGAGTCTGTGGCTATTATAGGATTTTTAAAAACTCATGAACTGTATCTTGCGCTCGGCTGTTTCCAGAACGGGACAGTTCTCGGATTGCCAATAAGGGTGTTGCTGCTTGAGTTGCTCCGTAAAATGTGGTTCTATTATCAGGTCCATTAAGTATACCTCAGTGTAATGACACTCCACTCGCCAACGTTTCTCTCTCGACCCTTCTCCTAATAACCCCTTTTACATTTCATTTTCGTTATTTAGCGGGCAGCACTTATCCTCAGCCACTTTACATTTTGCCAGTGATCAAATTAATGGAGTCAAAAGGCCTGGGAAGCAGGTACATGTCATACGGGCAAAGCAGTGGGACTAATTGTAGTTTCAGGGGAGGCAAGATGGGACCTAAAGTGATCCATGCTGCGCAAAAATGTATCGGAGCAGGGCTCACATATCCTCTCTTATGGTTTGTTGTCATAGTTTATTGTAGTCTTGAAGGTCTCTAGTGTCCTTATGTAAGAAATCGGTCATAGGTATGGGTGCAGAAGGGGATGATGCACTTTAACACCAGCCCTGTCGTACGAGGAATGAAGGC